TTACAAAATATCTTCATGGAACATGATCTTTACTTAATATCCTAATGATTTTTGGCATAAAAGAGAAATGTATAATTGTGACCCATACAATGTATTGTTGACTATTGCTACAAATATCCCCCAGCGACTTAACACTGCTCTTGTGCTGCAGGGACACATATATTCATAAAAAGCATAAGAACATGAATGCATTCAAACTCATTCACTTCCATAATGTGCCGTATTTCAGAGTGAAGCGAGCTTTTTAATGAAGAGCTCATGCTTGTGTTCTGTCGCAGGTGCCGTCGGACTCCGGTACCGGACTGTTTGCCGAGCCGCAGATCGCCATGTTCTGTGGGAAACCCAACATGCACATCAACGTTCAGACCGGGAAATGGGAACCCGATCCGTCCGGAAGCAAGAGCTGCATCGGGACAAAAGAGGGAATCCTGCAGTACTGCCAGGAGGTGAAGACAGCGTTCCTGTCCTTTATTTATGACTGCAATACAAAGCCAGAGATCATGTGTTAAAGATAATATGCGTCATCAGAGCCACTTTGACCCAGAAACACATCAGAGTTTATGAACTGAAGCACTTGAGATGCTCTTTGCTCATTAATGACATAATCATTCAGATATTCTGATATATATATCATATCTTGGACTAATTTATTCAAGCATTAAATAATTAACACACCAATAATAGGTGAAGACAAAATAATCAGGCATACAAAAAATAATAGATAACAAAACACACAAAAAAGTAATGTTTCTATGTTTTAATAAAGTCAAAAATTTTAATTTTTTGAAATGCAAAAGTTAGCCTTGAAACTAAATATTTACAGTATTTATTATAAATGTAAGTTTGCTTATGTGTTTTATGTTTTGTATTATATTTTCATGCATGCAAATGATGCATCAGGTTTTTATGGCTCATATAGTCTGATATAGTGAGAATATGAAGGAAAACAGCTCAGTTTTATTAATATGCAGTTTGGTTCAGATCCTGATATTTATATGATGAAATTCAGATGCTTGTAAATCAATCAATCAATGTTTTGCATTTAGTTTTGCATTGCATTTACACAAATAACTACTTCTGACTGGTCCGTCTCTGATGATTGTGCAAATGTAGTTTACAATCAATGATAAAAAAAACACTTTAAAGTAGTGCTGTCAAACGATTAATCGCGATTAATCGCATCCAAAATAAAAGTTTTTGTTTACAGTGTGTACTGTGTATATTTATTAAAATATATACTTAATGTGTGTGTATTTATATATACATAATAAATAAACACAGTACACACATATATTATGTAAACAAAAACTTTTATTTTGGATGCGATTAATCGCGATTAATCGTTTGACAGCTCTACTTTAAATTAAATATAATATTTTTGTTTGATATCGACAGCTGTTTGGGGATTTGGGGATATATTACATGTTACAAATGTTGTATTTGTAATAAGTTTTATTACATTTTTGTTCCTGAAATCCACCCTTCTGTTGGGATCCCAATCTTACTAAAACGTTCTGAACAACACAAACCGAGGTTTTAATCCTGATCATAGCCAAGATTGGATTTTGTGATCTAATCCGAATACAGAATCCTTCTTTTTTTTTTCAACAACCCATGTTCAAGATTTGATCCAATCACGTGGCCAAAATCCAATCAGATTACATTTGAACAACTGGCCCCAGATGATCAGATTCGAGACTCACTGATTTGTCTAAAAAACATGATTGATGGAGAATCAAGTAAAGCTGAGCTGCTTCAGTCTAGTAAGTGTTCATCTGGAGATATAAATACAGAGTTCTGGCATGAAACTCTAGATGGCGCAGTCCGATAGGTCTAACTCAGTCTGACCTAATGACATCATTATCACACGGCACAACTGATTGGTTCTCTCCTGTATCGGTAGCCAATGAGCTCGCTGCTCAACATTCAAATATATGGCTAGTGCTTGACATAGCTATTGCAGCTTGCTTCAGAAACCCTCCACCTTCCCCAGCTCCACCTGTATAGATCTGCTACGAGGTGATTCATGTATGCTACATGGGGGTTATTTTAGTGCTGGGCGGTATACCGGTTCATACCGAATACCGGCGTTTATTTTTGTTATGATATTAATTTTTAAAATACTGCAATACTGGTGTATGTCGCTTAAACAACGTTGGGAATGCGACACTGTTTGAAAGGGGTCCCTTTTCACTGTTGCTCTGTGGTGAGGGAACAGCTGTATGTGTTACTAAGCGTGAAAG